ACTCATCTGTGGAGTATAAGAACAAAGCAAAAATTGAAGGAACAAAATAACAACAGACTCACAGAACCCAAGAATGGACTAACAGTTACCAAAGGGAAAGGGACTGGGGAGGATGGGTGGGAAGGGAGGGATAAGTGGGAAAAAGGGCATTACGATTAGCAGACATAATGTGGTGGTGGGGCACGGGGAAGGCAGTACTACCCAGAGAAGACAATTACTGATTCTATAGCATCTTACTACGCTGAAGGACAGTGACTGTAATGGGGTATGTGGTGGGGACTTGATAATGGGGGGAGTCTAGTAACCACAATGTTGCTCATGTGATTGTACATTAGTGATACCAAAAAAAAAACAAAACTGGATGATGTTGCTCTCTATTCCCTTAAGGTAAAGTGTGGTCCCCTCGCCTTGGCCTGCCTCCTCCTACATAGTCCTGCCTTGCTTGCCAGTCTTACCTGTGGCCACTGGCCCCTTTACTCACTGGCTTCTCGTTTCCTTGATGTCTGCCTGTCTTACTACTCCTCCCACCCACACCTGCTGACTCTTCCCCCTCCTCGATTTCTGAGCCAAAATGCTGATTTCTCAGTGTCTGGAGTATTCCATGTTACAGTTGGGTTCCCTCAGTGTGTTTTCTCCATTTTCAATTTCTTAAATGTTTTTTGTTTGCTTTTTCAGCCCCTGAGGCTGCCAGGTAAGAACCAGGTTTGGTGCTCCATTGTCTCTCCGGTGAAACCTAACACAAGACCCTGTGGGATAAATATTTGACTTAATGAAAAGATTCTTAGAATCAAATGGCTTTAAACTGTGAGACTCAGGTTCAGGGAACAATTGGAATGGTAGTCATATGTAATTTGTGAAGCTTTGGTACTTTATAGCATTATAGCTGTTAGTTACTCTCCTGTAGTCCTGCAATTTTGATAAATATTAACAACTTTTACAGAGGCCTGGAAGAAGAAAAATTAACTGTTAAATACATATTGTTGCATATGTATTATTGCAACAAAAACAGACATTGAAAAATTAAAAGACATTTCATCCTGAATCCCTCCTCCCATCTAATACATCAAATAAAAAATTTTTTCTGTTCTGTAGTCCTGATCCATGTGTATTGATTACTTACATTTCATCATTATAAGACAGATTAGCTTCTTGTTTTTCTGCCCTGCTTATATACTCTTCATAAACATAATAACTGAATAGTTAAGTATTTAATTTTTCTGTGCAGATTTCAAAAGCTCTGTTTTTCCTTTAACATTCCAATGTATTTTTTTCCCGGCTCTGTATTGGCATGCCTTTTTGCTTTGGTGTATAGGAACACACAATGATATATGTTCCTTTTTTTATGTTCCTTTTTTTTTAATTCTGGAAGCCCCAAGTGCCAATATTGTAAGTTATCTGTCTTTTTAAAGCAGAGAAATTTAAAATGTGAATGTTTTATATATATGAAAAACAACAGGTAGGTAAGTCTTTTTTCCAGGGTTTCTTAACTAAGGTAGTGCTGTATCTGGCTTGTTTTCTCTTCAACATGCTTTATTTAATCTTTCCAAGTTTCTGGCTATTTATTTTGTAATACGAACAATCCATAATGTCTGGTTTATATTTAACATGTAGGTGGTTTCCTGCTTTATTTTACTTATTTTTTGTATTAAATTTTGCTAGTGTCTATAGCATCCTCTTTTACCTACCAATCATTCTATGTTTCAGGCAACATCAAGACTAAGAGAAAGAGGCTGTGATGGCCGCCTGGCAGGAATTGAAGTTCAACAGCTCTTCTGTTCTCAAAGTGCAGCAATTCCTGAACACCAGCTAAAAGAACTGAACATAAAAATTGACAGTGCTTTGCAAGTAAGTTTTTCAGAACTGGCACATTTATGCATGGAGGATAGAAAGAAGGGAGGAAGTTAAAGTTGTGATGTGGAACCAGTTGGGAAGAGTAGTAAGATAGTAGGTGGCCTCAAGTCTTCTAATAACTATAGAAATTTAAAATTTCTGTTTTCTTCAGACTTTGTCATTTTATAATCTGCAAAATAATCTTGATTCTTGAAAAAAATTTCTTTACAGGCATATAAAATAGCTCTGGAAAGCTTAGGCCACTGTGAATATGCAATGAAAGCTGGTTTCCACCTGAATCCAAAAGCAATTGAAGCCAGTTTGCAGGTACACTATTCTTTCTGGTAGCTCTAGGAGCTCTGGTGTGGCAGTCTTGCCATATCAAGTCAACAGTGTCTTGACAGATGAGCTGTGGGTCACCTCTCCTCTCCTGTTCAAACCTTTTCCAGGGCTGCTGTAGCGATGCAGAAGCACAACAGACAGGGCGGAGGCAGACCCCTCCGCAGCCCATGCAGTGTGAGCTTCCCACCGTCCCTGTGCAAATAGGATCACACTTCCTGAAGGGTGTCTCTTTCAACGAGTCAGCCACGGACAATCTGAAACTCAAGACGGTAGCTTTTAATGTGGTTTAACAACCTGAATGAATTTGGAAAAAGTGTTTTTAAAGGAACCTCATTGTTAGGAATTTAGATTAAAAAATAAAACTGAAGTAAAGGCAGGAGGCATTGGACTTCAGTAAATTGGTGTCTAAAAGCAGACTATGGTACCATTTTTTAAAAATTGAGGTACATACAATAAAATGCACAAATCTTAATGTACAGCTTGATGAATTTTGACATGTCTATACACTCATGTAACCATTACCCATATCAGACTATCAGACATTCTCACTAATTTTTCCCCCTTCAGTTACTTCACCTATCTTCCCACCCTCCCCTATGGAAACCTTATGGTGACTTTTTTAATGAGAGATTTGCCAGGTTAGTTTTATTCATAATTTTGTTCAAACATTTAATATAAACAGTCTTGAAAGTATACTATAAGATACTTTTTATGATAAATGTTTCAGGGCACTTACGTGAATTAAATAAGAGGCGGAATCCTGTCATAATGCTACAGTAATTGTGACCATTTGTGGAGCATCATGTGCACCAGGCATTATGCCAAGTCCTTCACATGCATTGTCTCATTTAATGCCCACCCATGAGATGGGTACTGCCCCTTCCCCCATTTGACAGGTAGAAAAACTAAGTCCTAAGGTCACACATCTGCAAAGTGTTTGATTGAGATTTGAGATTATACAATCTGTTTCCAGGGACTGCATACCTGACCACTTGGTCACCCAAAATAAAGCTGAGGTTTACTTTTACCAGATGATTTTATCTCCTTATTTAGAGGGATTCAGCATTTCAAAATTCCTCAGTCAATTTGCATCAGCAGATATGTATTTCATGCTAGTATAGAAATCACATGTATATATTAATGCATGTGTGTCCATGTCTAGCCACTCACTCTACAGGCTTGAGACAATCTCTGAGAGTGTCTGATAATAATTACTTAAGAAACTGAAGTGACATGATTTGAGAGTACTTAAAATATTTTTCTCTTAATTACTCATAATATGTGCCTGTGAATGTATTTCTAGAGTTTATTACTTTATATGGCTTTATCTTGAGGTGTGAACTCTCTTTTTATCAATCTGTAGCATACGATGTTACAGCTGATCAAGGAAGCAGGTTGCTGTAATGGAATCACACCCAGGGACGATTTTCCTGTGACTGAAGTCCTGAACCAGGTGTGCCCATCCACATGGCGGGGTGCCTGCAAGACTGCCGTGCAGCTGCTGTTTGGCCAAGCAGGATTGGTGAGTGAACGTGTGTGGTGGATGAGAGTAGAGAGACATTTCACGTGTGAGGACATAGAGTGGGCATATGTGTGACAATACTGAATAATCTAAAAAGTTCTTTGGGCTACAGAGTTTAGACCAGATAGAAAAGGGAAAGGAAGAGCAGAATTAGAAATTCTTTTTTTTTTCTTTTATAGATTGATAATATGTATACGAGGGGAACCTAGTTACAAAATGATGTTGCAAGCTTGCCTTCCTTTAAGGAAACCATTAGTAACGATGCGGTAGGGCCCCTTGACCTAGCTTGACTACTCTAGAGCTACAGTGGGTGCCTTTCTGCTGCTCAGGTCTTTGCATTTGACATTCCTTTCATCTGAGAATACTCTTTGGTCTTCTTGTGACTCACTCCTTCTCACTTCCTGAAGTCAGCTCAAATTCACTTCCTCCAAAAGACCTCTTGGTGGTAGAAGTAGTGCCCCATCCAGTCACTTTGTATCCCAGATGTCTGTTTATCTCCTTCTTAGCAATAATAACAACATCAAATCAAAAATAGGTTTAGTCTTTTCATCTTTGAAGAATTAACTTTTGCCAAAGTTGGATGGGGTCAGGAAATCAACTTCTGAACTCAACCATTTAGCTTTTTGTTTAGTGTAGCTGACCCATTAACCTTAGGTACTTGATCCTACTTTCTAGAGTTAAGTGACTACTTTTTGAGAAGATACAGCATTTCAGTCAGAGGTTAAAAGAAGCTAATTAGAGATTAAGAAAATTAAAAGAAGTGTTTCCTATAGGGTCTGCTCATGAAATGATCTGTTGGGAGGACACTATCCTTCTGTTAAATGTGGGTAAGGGCTCAGGGGACCAAGCTCAGGGTGGTACTGCCTTGTAGAGAGCTGGCTGTGGCCTGTCCACAGTGACTTACACTTCCTTTAGGATCCATTCCTTAGTATAGGAACCCCAGAAAAGGAGTAAACTGGAGACCCCTGCTGAAATAAGGAGCCTGTGTATTCAGGAGATTAAGCCATGTTTCCAAAGACGGTTTTAACTGAAACTAGGAGAACCATGGCGATAAGTTCTCCAGAAAGGAGTGTGTAAAATAAGGCAGAAGGATACACAGGCTGTTTTGAGAAAACACTGCCATTTTTAAAAAATGCCCCATGTTATTCAGAGAGCAGAAACTTCTTCCTAGTCACCTATCCCTTGATCCCAGGGCACCTTTGTATGTGACTGACAGAAAAACCTTTAGATTATGGTTCTGGAGGGGGAGGAGAGAGGAAACATCTGTCTGGCTCAACAATGGTTGATACTTGGAGAGGAAGTCTTTTCTGAAGGACATTGCTGAGGAGCTGTGGGAACTCTGTTTACCGCCTGGAAGTCAGCTCCATTGGAGGCTGAATTTGGAATCAATAAGCAAATTTGCATGGCTTTACCCTTTCTGAAATGTGAGGGGTTTGGTGTTAAAGAGCTCTATTATTTTCTTAAAATTCCATTAGTTATTTGAAAATATGTTCATCACTTTGTTAAACTCTTCAAATTATGTAAGATACTATATGATTCTTGTAATATTAAAGATTTCTTCTCCAAGTAAAGGGAAATCATTGAGAGAAGAATTTGTTCTTCATCTTTCCTGAAGTAGTTATGTTTTTACTGATGATTAAGGATAAAATGATCTTTAAATTTAAAAAAGGCTTTATCCACTTCTGGCTTATATTTATTCATTACAAATGGGCTTTTCTGAAGCACTGGTTTGATTTTTAATGACATTTTTATTCCTCTCAAGTACATAAAGTAAAAAAAATACAAGATAAAGGAAACAAAGTAATTCCTAATTAACATATTTATAGTTTGGGAGAAGTATCAACAATTTGCAAAGTTCAAAACAGTGTTTGCAAAGTTCAGTACATCCTGCATCCAGAATTTGATTACTGTTTATTAAAATATTACAGTATTCAGTCATCTTTATTACTTGCTATCTCCATGTGGCTCCTGACTGCATAACTGCCTTGTCAGGGGAATAGCCCTTGCCAGAGTCACTCAGCATCAATAGACGCATGTTTTGGATTTGTCTGGGATGCATTCTCCTCTCTGAAACCTGATTGCTGTTTCTGTTTCTCTCTTAGGTGGTAGTTGACACGGCACAGATTGAAAATAAAGAAGCCTATGCTCCCCAAATCAGTTTAGAAGGCTCCAGAATAGTGGTTCAAGTTCCATCCACATGGTAACACGACTTTAGCCTAAGCTCTGATTTAAGTTGCACATCTTTGAAAAGATTGCTCTATTTTGGACAAACCCCATGCTAGCTGACATGACAGATCTCTTGCTACTTCTGCAGCTTTATGGGAAGTGGTGGTATGTTAATGCCATGTGTTGTGGTTATTAGTCCACAGTGAGGAAGGCAGGATGTCTGAAAAATAGTCTCATTGGCCAGTAATGTAACTAAAATATTACATACTCATGGATCATCATGAGCAATATTATCTTTTCTTTGATACTGAGTCCACAGCTTTTGAACAGAGAATATTATTTTCTCTAAGTCACCAAGTGCTCTCTAAAGCTGAGTACAGAATATAGAATTCCTCTCCTTTGTTCCAACATCCCTGATGATCTTGAGTTCATGTCATTAAACACCCAGTGTCACTGCAAATCCGGAGACAGACTGAGCCATTTGTATTTTTCATTATTTAATTATATTTGTAAACTTATAATAGATAAAGGATTCTTCTTAATCTATTAAAAACTCCTACAAATCAATAAGAAAATGGGCAAAGTACTTGAACAGGTAAATCAGAAAAGACACTGTCAGCAAATAGATGAAGAAAATGTGTAACCTTACAATGAAAGGTAGAGAAAAGAATACAATGTCATTTTGCCCAACATGTTGTTAAATTGTTTTAGAATAATACCAGGTTTGGGCCAGACTGTACAAAAACAAGCACAGAAGTTGTTGAATAAATCACACAGCCTTTCTGGGGGAGCAGTTTTCTGTATCAGAAGCCTAAAATAAGGGTCATGACCTCAGCAGTTTCACAGTTCCGCCTCTGGAGATTTATCCTTACGATGTGCGAACAGGTTCAGCTAAAGGATTGGCATCATAGCTTTATTAACAAACAGCAACATTTAAGAATATGTTCTAAGACTTTTGCTATTAAAATTATGATCTGAATGAACATTTAACTATATAGAGGAATTTTAAAAACGTTTAGGTAGGAAGAGATAAATATAGTAATGAAAATGGCACTATCAATATCTGTATAGACTGAAGTGGTAGCTGGGTAATGCATTCAGATTGAATCTAAGACATTTCTTCTTGAAGTCTGAGGGTCCAGTGGTAGATTCTGCCAAAAGTAACAGAACTTGTTGATTTATCAAGGGAGGGTTAGAGTTCACTTCATATCCTCAAACCTCCCTTCTGTGAGTTTCCTCCACCAAAACTTTTAAATATTAAGCTTAACCCAGATTCTCATTCTGAAGTAAAATAGTTTGAACTTTTGGATAATTGGTGCAATGAACAGCTAGTACTACAATGGTTAACACTGCGTACACTTCCAAAACTCTCCCTGTATAATTGATCTCCTTTGTAGTTGATTGCCCCTCTGTGAGATTTCATGTGATTCCTTGGAGAAACTCCCTCTGCTAATTGCTTTTGGTAAAAACACAAAGTTTTCGTATTTGTTTCAAATTACAAAATATATGCTTGAGAATTCAAACAGAAGTGATTGCTTAATTACATCTTCAGAAAAATGAAATTGTTAGCAAAGTCAGTCAAGAATTTATTTTATGCTTTATTTTTAGTAAAATAAAGTGCCCAGCTGCCAGATAGTTTTTTTCCATATAAAATAATACCTTACTTAGATTTAAGCTGTTCATACGTTCTTTCTTTCAGCAAATACTAATACCTATTATGTGACATTCTGAGCTCTGAGCATTTAATCAAGAGCAAGACAGAGTCCCTGCCCCTAAAAGCTGACTTAGTAGTGGGAAGGGGAGGAAACAATTAGCAAGCATAAAAATTAAGTTTAAACACTGGCTAGTGTATGTGGGGGAAAGGAATGATATCATCTGATAGAGAATAACTGGGGTAGACATGGGAAGGGGAGGCTATTGTGAATGAGGTGGTCAGTCATGTAGAGTCCCTGAAGATAGGACATTTGAAAGGAGCTGGCCATGCAGATTGCAGATGGAGAAAACATTCCAGGCAGAAGGAACAGCAAGTGCAAAGGCCTGCAGAGTGAACCAGCATGGCAGGAGATATGGTAGATGGTGGTAATGAGGGGACAGTTGTGGAAGCTAGGACTTGAGGGGTCCCTGAGGGACTTGGATTTTTATCTGTGAAAAGGTAGTTTTAAGCACGTCTGCATGATTTGTCAAAAGAAGGGATTAGGCCCTTAAGAGAATTTTATTGGTCAACTCTCAAAACTGATGAATAAAAGGAAAATGCTAATATGTCGATTTTCAGAAATCGAAATTATTATCTCCAGGAACTATAATACTCATTTCTGCTTGACCAGCAAATTTTGTGCTAGAGGGCAAACATGTGACCAGCCAAATCACAACTAGAAATTGGCTTGGAAGCATAGAACAAGTGTGTCCTGATAATCAGTGATTCCAAGCTGAGAGAATTGGGTGCATGAACCTTGGGCTGAGTGCATTGGCCACGTTTCTCTCCCAGGAGTCCAGGATCTGGCCGGGCACCGGCAGAGCGTGCCTTGTTGCTCGCTTTTTGCAGTATTTCTGAGACTGGCTGGCTCACATCCTCACAGATACATTGCTTCTCCAGCCAAATTGATGTTGGGGAATGCTACTGCTTCCTTAGTCAGGTGGCTTTACAAGTGTTGATTTCACCATTTAATTCTCAGAGTGCACAGGAACAGACAGACAGTGTCTTCTGGTTCTCCCTCTCAGGAAAGGCCTCTTGGTGGAGGTACACCAAATGGGCAGTGGGGACCTGAATAGTGGGAAGCAGCTCTCAAGGGAGAGCAGCCCAGGCAAAGGCAGTGACAAGAGCAAAGGTTCTGAGACATGGGCAAACTCAACCTATTCAGGGAGGGAGAGAAAGCCTCTTTGCTGGGATGAGGTGACAGTAAAGACGCAGGAGGGGCCAGGTCACAAGGAGCCCTGAGGGCTGTGGTAAGGGTTTAGATTTTATTTCAGTCATGATGGGATGCCGCTGGAAGGCTTTAAACAGTGGGTCTCATCTGGTTATGTATTTTCTCAGGAAGTGAGAGTTGAGGTAGGACTAAATGTGTTCTGATTTGTGCTGTAGAAGGCTCATTCTGGCTGTGGTGTGGAGGGTGGGCCTGGGAGGGACCGGAATGGAGAAAAGGAAAGCAGATTGGAGATTGGTCCTGAGCCACAGAAGGCTGTGGTTCCTTGGAGTAGAACCACTAATAAGGGAGGTGGTGAGAAGTGCTCAAGTTTAGAATATGTCTGGACAGTGAGCTGCCAGGATTTGCTGATGGCTTGGATGCAGGATATGAAGGAGCTAGAGACGACCTGTAGGTTCTAGGGTAGACAGCTGTGTAAGTTCACTTATTGAGGAAGTCTGTGGGAATCAGAGTGGTCTTTGGTGGGGAGGTGAGGAATCGAGGGATGTGCTGACCAGACTACATTCGAGCTGCCTGTCAGGTGTGCAAGAAGAGATGGCAAGTAATGCAGTTTGATGTATGAAAGTGGAGTGCAGGAGAAAGGTCGAGGCTGGTGAAGGAAATTTGAGAGTCTTCAGGTGTGGGGATGGTCTCTACAGCTGTAGGACCAGGTGCAGTACTCTAGAAAGAAAGGATTCTAGGAAGAACGTGCCATCATACAGAGGTAAGGGAAAGAGGAGTAGGAGAAATCAGCAGAGGAAACCCAGAAGGACCTGCCAGCCATATAGAAAGAAAACTGAGCAAACGTAGGGTCACTGAAGGTAGTGATCCAGGAGGAAAGAAATACTGCACAGTGTTGCAGAGAGTTGAATAAGGTGGAGACGGGTACTGACCCTAACTTTGGCAAGATCTGAATTGTTTGATAAAAGCTATTTTAGTGGTGGTATGGGGATGGGAGCCCAGTTAGAGCCAGGTGAGAGGAGAAATAAGAGGTAAGGAAGAGGAGATGATACTGGGTTTTGCTAAAATGAAGGGCAGAGAAATAAATGGGGGAGTCTGGAGGGGAATGTGGAGTTAAGAGAACGTGGTTAGTGAGACTGTTTGTTTGCCAAAGGGAGTTCACGGGAGGAGTGGGGTGATTATGTGAGTGAGGTCCTTGGGAAAGCAGGAGGGCATTCAGGTGGAGAGTCAGCCTGTGACAAGATCAGGGTGTGCAAGACAGCAGATGTGTGAGCACAGACACGGGGTCCCTGGGGGAATTAGTGGTGAGGGGAAATGAAATAGATCAAATTTGCTTATGTGTTTCCTCGTTTGACAATTGAGGTAGGAAAAGAGTGGATGAGGTGGCAGGGATAGCAGAGCTTTGAGGAGAGAGGAGAAGGTGTGAAGTAGTCATCTTGGGTGGGACAAAGTTAACTTATGTAAAGGCCGTAAGCCTCCCTGAAATTTACGGCATCCATGTGGTAGACCATGAGGCTTTTTTTCCTCCACTGACCTTTTAGTTTCTTAGGTACAGGTCTGAAGTGCCTCAGAGGAAGGGTGGAGCAGGGGCTTAATGGGAAGAGTTTGCAAGGAGTAGATACTGTGCCAGATCATGGAATCTCAGCAGGTAGAAAGGAAAGTCAGGGCCTGAGGTAGTATTTGATGGTAAGAGGGCATTAGGGCCCCTGGAGGCAGCCCTACAGCAAACTCTTCTCTTCCTACTAAACAGACTGCAGACAGCATTCTAGACCCTATTGCTTCCTCCTCCGCTTGCAGAGCAACAAGTTCCAATATTAACCTTGCCACTCTCTAAATGTTCTTTTAATTATAGGGCTTTTATTTCATGTCAAAAGTATGTAAAAGTTGTAGTCCTTTTATATGAGGCCTGCTTGAAACAGCTTTGCAGAGAAATGTGGCCCAGACTAACACAGCCTGGTTCACACCTAGGTGCCTGAAAGAAGACCCCGCTACCATGTCCCTGCTGCAAAGAAGCCTTGATCCCGAGAAGACCCTGGGTCTCGTGGACGTGCTCTACACAGCTGTGCTGGACCTCAACCGCTGGAGGGCAGGGAGGTTGGTATCCCTGCCAGTCACTTGATTGGGTTTACCTTCAGGCCCATACCTAGGGACAGTGTGACCACTTACAGTTCCATGTGTGTTCATGTCACTGATAGCATGTGACTAAGTATGGCAAGAAAAAGAACTTTTATTTGGGAATAATTTCAAACTTACAGAAGTGTTGCAAGAATAGTACAAGGAATTACTCTGTGCCCTTTATCCAGATTCTGCAGTTTGTTAACATTTTTGCCTTCATTTGTTTTATCATTTGAGAGTAAGCCCATCAAAAGGATTTTAACCCAACTCATATTCTCCTAGTGAACTAAGAGCAGAGAAATGTTGAGAAAATTTACTTAGGTCCTCATGAAATTTATTCACATCTGAAAGTAGCTGACAGGTACAAGATTGTCTCTTTGTGACTTGTTAACCTCAGAATGGGCAGGGGTCTTAAATATCTAGCTAGGTACACTCCCCCTTTCTTAACTCTCAAGCACACAGAGGCCCAGGACCGTGAGGTCACTTACCCAAGGTCACACCATTCATCACCTGCTTCAGCTCCTGCCCCATGCCCTCTCTGTCTCCAGGGCTCTCTTTCAGTGCTGGAAAAAAGTGCTCAGAAAACTGGAATTAATAGCCGTCTCTTCTTGGCACTGTCTGTAAATTATTTCCAAGGACAAAGTGCCACAAAGTGTCCTTAAGTCCTTCCCAGCAACCCCTCTCTGCTCTATGGATTTAATGATTGTCCCTCTGCTGGAGCTGCCAGGTTCTTAGTCCCTGTCCTCCAGGCACAAAGCTGGCTTCTGCCAATTGCATGTCCCAGTCTACCCATATTTTGGTCTCCTGTACTGAGGTTAAAGTGTTTTGACAAACTCTTGAGGCCAAAGTCGTAATGTAGTTCTCCCAGCCCTGTGTTAGACAGTGTTGATTTTTTATAATAAATATAGATAGTGTTTAAGTTATGTACACTTTAAAAACTCATAGGTGTTTATCTATAAAATAAGTGAACCTGATACCAACCAGAGAGGTCTTTTTTGTTCTTAAAGTCTTTCTTAAATACAAAGAGATCCATTTCATTATCCAATTTGCGCATATATATGTTTTTTCTAACACATTTCTGTTTAAATAGGGAACAAGCTTTACCGTGCATACAGATCCAGCTTCAAAGGGAGATCTGTGATTTTGGGAATCAGTCTGACCTGCCTTCTGGAAATGGAAACAAAGCTCCAGGTGGCCTGCAGAAGACATTCTCCAAACTGACATCCCGGTTCACCAAGAAAACTTCATGTACCAGCTCTAGCAGTAGCACAAATTATTCCATCCCAAGTACCCCTTCCAAAAACATCTTCATAGGTGGGTGTTTAGAAGAAAAGGCCAAAATGCCCAGCAATATTGATTCAAGGCTACAAAGCATTTTGAACATTGGAAATTTTCCCAGGACTACAGACCCTTCACAGTCAGCTCAAAATTCCAGCAATCAAATGGCCAATGGTTTTCTCATGGAGAGGCGAGACAACTTCCTGCGAGGAGATGATGGCAAAGATGAGAAGGGTATGAACTTGCCAACCGATCAGGAAATGCAGGAGGTGATAGATTTTCTCTCGGGCTTTAATATGGGCCAGTCACATCAGGGCTCCCCACTGGTGACAAGACGTAATTCTGCTGCCACAGCTATGGTGACTGAGCAGAAGGCAGGAGCTATGCAACCACAGCAGCCACCACTGCCAGTGCCCCCTCCACCACGGCCACCCCAGGCTGGGGCACATGCACCTCTGACGCCCCAGCCAGGCCTGGCACCTCAGCAGCAGTCCCCAAAGCAACCACAACCCCAGGTCCCCTACTACCAGCACCTGCTCCAGCCCATTGGATCACAGCAGCCCCCACCTCAGCCTCGGGCCCCAGGGAAGTGGGTGCATAGCTCGTCTCAGCAGCCATCACAGCCTGTTGGAGCGGGTCTGTCACCTCTTGGTCAGTGGCCTGGCATATCTGATCTCAGTTCTGACTTGTACAGCTTGGGTCTGGTGAGCAACTATATGGATAATGTGATGTCAGAGGTTTTGGGACAGAAGCCACAGGGACCTAGAAATAACACCTGGCCAAACCGTGATCAAAGCGATGGAGTGTTTGGGATGTTGGGAGAGATTCTGCCTTTTGATCCTGCAGGTATGCAAGCACCGCCCCTACCTTGGTTGTGGGGGTGGGGGTAACATAAATGTAATCACTGAGGACCTCACAGGGCCTATCTGCCACAGCCTTACTAGGTGGGGGAAATGACTCTAATCCCCCTTTAAGACCCTTTCTTGCTGTCTGATACTAAGTACGGGGCAGACCAGCAAAGGTAGGAAGCAATGGTGGTCAATGAGGCTGAGAAGGTAAGTGAACTATTTCTCTCACTTTACAAAGGACAGGATTGAGGCTGAGAAGTTACATGAATAGCTCAAAGTCCCATAGTTCAAATGGGCTCCAGTCTGCACTCTCCCATCCATGGGAGCCAAGGCAGCTGGCCCTTTGTGAGCAGCCTTTTTCCTGATTACATAATCTGTTCTGTAACTCTTTTTTGCCCAGAAGTTCTAAGACCTATGAAAGGTGGTAGAGCACCCTCCTGCCTTCATAGAACATGGCTTTCGCCTTGTCTAAACAGTGTAAAAATACCATGAGAGTTATCTTAGGAAAGAACTTAGAAACAAAACAAAAATAAACTTGGCAGAAGAATTAATTGAGGATAAAAGCCAAAATTAATTAAATATAAAAAAAATTCAGTAGAAATTGTAAATAAATCTTAAAAATGGTATTTGGGAGGCTAATGAAATAGATAAACCAATTTATTATAAGCCTGATTAAGAGAAAGCAAAGAGAAACAAGATGAGGAAAGAGGAACTACAGATATAGGAGAGATTAAAAGAACTTTAAGACATTATTGTATATTGATTGATGACAACATGCTTGAAAACTGACTGGAAGATGGATTCTTTCCTAATAAAAATACATAACCAAAATTGCACCAAAATGTGGAAAAACTGCCTAGATCTGTTTTAGTAGAACAGATTGGAAAGTCAATTATGAAGCCAACATGATTTTCCATGAAAACTTTATATAAGGATTATAAAAATGGCATACCACAGTGCATCTCTCTCGTAAGTGTGGACAGATGCAAGAAAATCTAGCAGTGTATCAGAAGACTGAAATCTGTTAGTAAACCTGGTTTACTTTAGGAGAGTAAGGTGGTCGAGCATAGGGAACTCTGCTACTGTACAGTATTCCATCATATCAACCAATTAAATGAGAAAAACTCATACAACAGATGCTGTGAAGACATTTGTTGAAAGGTACCATCAATTCCTAAAAATAAATGTCCCTCAAAATAAAACACGAATAAAAAGGAACTTCTTGAATATAAAAAGACGATCTACCAAAATCTAGTAGCAAGTAGTACTTTGGTAAAACAAAATCATTCTAGTTAAAGTCAGGACCCAGAAGGGGTGGCAGCCGTTACTACCAATAGCATGTAACTTTGTCTTGGACTTTCTAGTAAATATAGCAAGGCAAAGAAAAAAGGAAGTAAGTGGTATGAACTTCAGAAAAGGATAAATTGAAAAACACATCTCTTTGCTGGCAATAGAAATGAAAAAAACTTCATAAAAAGTTCCTAGAATTAGTAGGCAAATCTGATAAGGTGGGTAAATGTAAGATAAAATATATAGAAATCAATTGTTTTTTCTCTAATTTAACAAAAGATATGCAGAAATGGAAAATATATTTCCTTCACAAGGGGAGTACTTGTGAAATATTGTAAATAAGTATAGCGAATATTTTTATAAGTAACCACCAGAAGAGATTCTCTGCTGAAACAACCCAGTATTGACTGTTAAAAGAAAGAAATATTTTCTTAAGACTTCTAAAACTTCCTGGTGCTTCCTTGTTGTTGCCCTCTTTGGGCAGGCAGATGTGGGCAACCTGGTACCCTGGGACACAGGGAGGACAAACAATGCCACCCCACTAAGGAAGAGCAAGCCCACCTGGCTGCCACTGGCTGGGGTGGACATGCCACATTTTCTCAGTTGCTGATAGTCTGTATGTTTTTCAGTAATGTAGTTAAATCCAGAGTACAAATGGTGTTTGGCAGAATTTTACCACCTTTGACCTCTGTTGAGAACTGAACATCATTTTACCTACAGGTTCTTAATGTAGCTGCCCGTGGGCTCCGCCCAAGGGCATTAGGTCTACATCCCTCTCTAGGCAGGGCCAGTTAGAAGAGGGTGCCCCCTCTGGGCAGGCTCACACAGCCCCTGGGAGCGTGGCCTGCCTCACTGAGCCAGGACCTTGATTTTGGCCCTTGCCTTCTCCCACTGTGGGCATCTTTGTGCAGTGCACAAATGGCACAGCCTCATACAGTGGTCTGTGCAGCACCCTGAGAATAAGCTAGTGATGGGATTGTACCCTAGTGTCCTTCCCAAATGAAAGCTAAAAAGCATACATTGCTCACACTGAGTCATCCTCGGTTCGTGACCCATGGATATTGTTCTGCCGTCTCTTTCTGTTTGACTCCTTCTCTGAATGCCTTCTGTGCTATCTTTGCTCCCACTTATACTGCCCTGCACATCCTTGCTCAGCCCTGCCAGGTATGTTTCTAGCCATCTCTTAATGCACCCTGAAATTTTATCATCCTTGTTGTTGCCCTCTTTGGGCAGGCAGATGTGGGCAACCTGGTACCCTGGGACACAGGGAGGACAAACAATGCCACCCCACTAAGGAAGAGCAAGCCCACCTGGCTGCCACTGGCTGGGGTGGACATGCCACATTTTCTCAGTTGCTGATAGTCTGTATGTTTTTCAGTAATGTAGTTAAATCCAGAGTACAAATGGTGTTTGGCAGAATTTTACCACCTTTGACCTCTGTTGAGAACTGAACATCATTTTACCTACAGGTTCTTAATGTAGCTGCCCGTGGGCTCCGCCCAAGGGCATTAGGTCTACATCCCTCTCTAGGCAGGGCCAGTTAGAAGAGGGTGCCCCCTCTGGGCAGGCTCACACAGCCCCTGGGAGCGTGGCCTGCCTCACTGAGCCAGGACCTTGATTTTGGCCCTTGCCTTCTCCCACTGTGGGCATCTTTGTGCAGTGCACAAATGGCACAGCCTCATACAGTGGTCTGTGCAGCACCCTGAGAATAAGCTAGTGATGGGATTGTACCCTAGTGTCCTTCCCAAATGAAAGCTAAAAAGCATACATTGCTCACACTGAGTCATCCTCGGTTCGTGACCCATGGATATTGTTCTGCCGTCTCTTTCTGTTTGACTCCTTCTCTGAATGCCTTCTGTGCTATCTTTGCTCCCACTTATACTGCCCTGCACATCCTTGCTCAGCCCTGCCAGGTATGTTTCTAGCCATCTCTTAATGCACCCTGAAATTTTATCTTACTCATTACCACTCTTACTGTCCTCAGATTGAATGAGCTGTCTGCCCACCCATATCCAGGAAAATACTGGGTTAGAGCTGGGCCCATGGGAATGGCAGATGTTCTCTAACTGGCTGACCCTAATGCTTTGATAGCGTTCACTTTCTCAGTTAGCTGGAGTCGGCATCTGATTTACATAGTTGTTATGTACATAGCACCAGACATGGGAAAATTTTAAAGTAACTAGTATTTGTCTTTAAAATTTAGTCATGCATAAAGCAAACCTTTTGTGTTCTTTCTTTCTTTCATTCACATTCAGCCAACGTCTGTCCCTGTGCACACATCATACCCCAACTTCAGAGCTATGTGCAGAAAGCCCCATCTCACTGTGACAGCCTGCAGGGCAAATCATGCACGCCTGGCAGCTCTTCATTCCTCACAGTGTGTGTGACCAGCACGTCCTCAGATGGTAGGGAAGGAAATGAGGTCAGTTTGGCCCCAAACCGTGTTTGTCCCTTTGTCTTAATACAGTGGGTTCAGACCCTGAGTTCGCACGCTATGTGGCAGGAGTCAGCCAGGCAATGCAGCAGAAGCGACAAGTCCAACATGGTCGCCGCCCGGGCAACCCCCGGGGCCACTGGCCACCCATGGATGATGCCCATCGGACCTGGCCTTTCCCGGAGTTCTTCACAGAAGGGTGAGTACTGGTTGGGGCAGAGAAGTGGAGCTCAGGCAATCCAATCCTAAGCTTCCATGTGAGAGAGAGAGACATATGGTCAAATCTTCAGGGGGTCAGTGGTATAAGTTGGTAATTTTCAAGACAAACTCTTCTACCCTAGGCAAGGATCTTACCTGGTGGTGTTTGTGAAGTAATGAGTGTTTAACAGTCTTTGTGCTGAAATGAGCGTACCTGTGATCCCCACCTGATGTGGAATGTGATCGTGTAGCCCACAGTCCATATTCCAGTGTATTGAGAGAACTGTGAGTCTTCATTATGAAGATGACTAGGGGTTGATGTTTCACATTTCTTTCTGCTACCTGGTTAATAAATCTAGACAGCAAAAGACCATCTCAGCTTTTTGTTTGCTCTAAAGTGAATTCCATATACAAACCACAGGCTTCTCTGAGAGGATGAAGGCAGTGACACATGTGTGTTATAAGGGAAAGAAAAGCACGATCGTCAGGTAGGATAATCCTTACCTGTTCCTCCTTCGGGAGGGCAGATTGGAACATGATGATTGGAGTCTGCACGCTGCATGATTAGCGTCTCTGCGTGATCAGGACTTGCAACCCCTGATTGCTCCTGTCTGATTCTTCCTGGCGAAAAAAAAGAAAGAAAGAAAAGCTCGAGTTTTCAGGGGGAGGAGGGAGATGAGACTGCTAATTGGTTGTGAGAAGACTGTAGGGTAAAGACTTCTTTTAGAGCTTGGTTGAGGGTGGAGGCTGGCCTCGGGGCTGTCCAGCCAGGGTCCTGGCCGGCTGCAGGAGGCCCGGGACCATCTCTCTTGGCTTTCAGGGATGGCCTGCACAGCAGCTGGTCGGGCGCTCAGGGAGACTCGGCCAGCTCAAGTGATGAGACATCGTCTGCCAACGGGGACAGCTTGTTCTCCATGTTTTCTGGACCTGACCTCGTTGCTGCTGTCAAGCAGAGAAGGTATGAAGAGACGTGTGGGTACAAGGAAACAGAGGCCCAGAGGTGGCAGTCTAAAGGATGTGGGCAGGAATAGAGAGCTTGCAGGGCTGCGGGGCATCAGAGGTTGTGCTGTGGAGTAGAAAGGCAGGCCAGCTTATTTGGTCTTCATGTGACAGAGTCAGGCTTTGAATAAGCAGTGGAGAGCAGGTAGATGAAGCCAGAAGGGTACCTGAGTCAGGACACAACGGAGTGGTAACAGTAGTGATGGCAGCAATGGCTAATACAAGCTAGGGTGCGCTCTATATGTGAGGCCCCGGCTGCACATTCACACATAGTTTCTCACTTAGACTTAGTTCTCACAGCTACTGTATTAGTTTGCTAGGGCTATCATAACAAACTGCCACAGACTGAGGGGCTGAAAAACAACAAAAATGTATTTTCTCAAAGTGCTAGAGGCTAGAAGCCTGAGATCAAGGCCTCAGAAGGGTTGGTTTCTTCTGCAGGCCTCCCTCCTTTCGGTGAGGGAGGCCACCCTCTCCCCATGCCTGCCTGTGTCTTCCCTCTGTGTGTGCCTGTGTCCTAATCTCTTTCTATAAGGATACCAGTTATACTAGGCTACAGCCCACCTGATGACTTCATTTTAACTGAATTACTTGTTTAAACACCTCATCTCTAGATAGTCACATTCTGAGGTACTGTATTTAGGACTTAAACATATGAATTGGGGGTCAATGTATGAATGTGTGGGGGAAAAGTTCAGCCCATACTTACATACCTTATGATGTAAGTACTGTTTTACCCACAATAGGTATAAAAGTTTCACAGGTGGGGAAACTGAAGCTCAGAGAAGTTAATTTTTTTTTTTTGAGAGGGCATCTCTCATATTTATTGATCAAATGGTTGTTAACAGTTAACAACAATAAAATTCTGTACAGGGGACTCAATGCACAATCATTAATCCATCCCAAGCCTAATTCTCATCAGTCTCCGATCTTCTGAAGCACAACGAACAAGTTCTTACATGGTGAACAAATTCTTACATAGTGAATAAGTTCTTACATGGTGAACAGTACAAGTGCAGTCATCACAGAAACTTTCAGTTTTGATCACGCATTATGAACTACAAACAATCAGGTCAGATATGAATATTCATTTGATTTTTATACTTGATTTATATGTGA